GTGGGCGGCACCGCCTTGCTCCATGGACGTGGTGCCTCTGCCGCTGACTTCGGGGGCGTGCCGCCGCCACCTTTGCCGCCATCTTCTTGGTCGTGTCGTTATGGTTCTGTTTGCTCTGTTTCGCCGACGTCGGAGGGGGCTGGCCGCCCGTGCCATGGATGAGCTTGTTGTGCACATCCCACGCAGCCTTCCTGATCCGAAGTGGCGCTTCATTCCCACATCCGCATATAACTCTCGATGCCCAGTTCGCCGCTGCTGAGCACCTGCCGCATGTCCAAAGCGGCCGCCTCGGGCCGCGGAGCGCCGCTGGCTGGGGCGGCGCCACCGTCGCGGCGCCTGGATCTGCTTCGTGGTTCACTTTGCTCCTTCTGGGGCAGACTGGTTGGAACGAACCAAGTTAGCCCGGCGCAGCGGCGCCGTTCTGAAGACAACTGCACCAAGCCCAAAACACCCGGGCCAGAACGGCCGAGGAAGAGGGGGAGGAGGAAGGGGAGGAGGAGGAGGATGATGATGATGATGATGATGAGGAGGAGGAGGAGAAGTCGGGTGTGAGAGGTTCTTGAAGGACGACGAAGGCCATCTGAGAGAACCTGCCGCCGCGATTGTTTCTCAACGCGGGGGGGTTCTCGGCCCTCCGATCCCCCTCTGCTCCGACCCCCTCTCGGAGGAATCGAACGAGGGCCCCAATGCACCTTCGAAGAGGAGGAGGGGGAGGAGGAGGAGGGGGAGGAGACGGAGGAGGAGGAGGCGGAGGCGGAGGAGGCGGAGGAGGCGGAGGCGGAGGAGGAGGAGGCGGAGGAGGAGGAGGAGGGAGGCGGAGGCGGAGGCGGAGGCGGAGGTGGAGGAGGCGGAAGCGGAGGAGGAGGAGGAGGAGGAGGCGGAGGTGGAGGAGGCGGAGGAGGAGGCGGCGGGGGAGGGGGGAGGGGGGCGGGGGGAGGGGAGGGGGAGAGGGGGAGGAGGAGGAGGAGGAGGAGGAGGAGGAGGAGGAGGAGGAGGAGGATCGCACGCCACTGAGGGGAAAAGGGGTGGGGGAAAATCCGACGGTCCAAAAAAACCCAGGGGGGCCCATCAGAGGGGGACTTTTTGTCACCCTGGCAGGAAAGCCAAAGACCTGCCAGGGGCCAGCGACAGGGCCCCCCCTGGGTATCTAACCGCCCAGTTCTTCGTACTCCAGATCATTGTCTGGGCCTCGTTCACGTCGCCTCAGTCCCAACTCGGCGGTTTCGAACTCATTAGGTCCGAACGCTTGTAGGACATCAGCCAGGCACGAACCTGCACGTGCAGGATGGTCCGAAGTGGCTCTGGCCACCCTTCCAGCTCCAATCTGGGCCTTCTTGGACACCGGGACCCCCCCCCCCCGCCGCCCCACCAACTCTCGCACCCGGGCCCCAGGAGATCGCCCGGAGCCCAGTTTGAGAGGCCTGCTGGGGTGCTTGCCCTTACAGACTGCTCGAGAGTCTTTCCTATCTGGGTCCACCCAGTCCTGCTGGGACCCTCCGCAGCCCTTACGCAGGCCTCTGGATCCCGCAGACACCGTGGCATACCCCCCGCAGGTCGAACAAAAAAAAGATGGGGGGCTGGTTATCTTCAACCACGAATGGCAGCAACACGTGCCTTCCGATGAAAGCAGGGGCCTGCCATCGCCAGCAGCTCGGGCACCAAGGGCTCAGAGGGAGGCCCCGAGGATTGTTGAGGATATTCGGGAGGAGGAGCAGGAGCAGTAGCACCCTCGGCACCTCCCCCCCCCTGCCTCCTCACCGCCTCAAGGGCCTCCTCAAAGTCGGATCTCCCCTCCAGGGAGATCTCTGTGAGCCCCTGGGCTCCGACATAGTCCCACCTGCCTTCCTGCACATATTGGCCTTCCGCCCTACTAATGAACAGAAGGAGCAGGCGCGCGACATGGAGCATGCCTTTGGACATCAGGACAACATTGGACGGGCATCCACATAGCTCCGCACCAAACTTAGCAAGCCGATCAGGTTCATCAGCGCCCCGCGCTGGGCTGGTCCAGATCGGGGTCCAATCTCGCAAAATGCGATCTAGTGCCGCCTGCCCTACAAGCGGCCTGGGACCTCCCACTTGCTCAGCGAAATCCTCGTCATCAAGGACTGGCAAAGGAGGCTGAGCGGGGCCTTTCGAGCACCTGTGAGCCGCCCGACCTCCGCGACCGACCGACGACTGAGCCCGCGATCTCCACTTCTTTCGGCCTTCCGCTGTCTCCTGCTGCACTCCACTGTCAACTACGCGCTGGATGGCATTCACGAAGTCCCCACGACTGGGGCCCTCTAGGCCCTGAAAAGTTCAGCCACCGACAGTCGCGCTAGCAGAGGTTCCTCAACCTCCTCCAGCAGGTCTTGCAGCGGCCTGGCCGAATCTAGCAGGCGCCGCCGTCGGACGTCGGCGCCGCCTTCATATACTGCAAGGTCAACCGCCTCAAAGACAACCAACGTTGGGTACCAGGGAGGGAGCGCCTGTGCAGCTCCTGACCCCAAGCGTGGTGTGGCCATACACTGGGGCAAAAAGGAACGGGGAAGACTGGTGCACCATGATCTTGACCGTGCGGAGCCTCTCAGACCAGCAGCTCTGCCCGTGGCCGTTGCTGTCAAAATGTGCCTTGCATCGGATAGCCGTCCCTCCAGACGTCTCGCGGCGCCCTGCTCCCGTTCGCGCCGCCTCCGCGAACCATGACATGTATCCAGCTTTGTGACGCCACCTGCGAGCCGCTTTGGTCTGTTCGTGTTCCATCCTATATACTTGAAAAAGTAAGGCGCCGTACACAGTCTCTTTCCCGTTCCGAGCCCATTCCATGTGACTCTGAGCCGTAGACCACGAATTGCTGTTGTAGCTGACCAGCTGGAAATCCCATTTCTGAAGTGTGGGTGGAGGGCCGCTCCAACCCGGGGTATCGACCACCTGCGCGTCTGCAGCCCAGGAAGGAGGTTGGGTCTGATCGAAGGCATCGACCACCCGCACGTCTGCGGCATCGATCAAAGACCCGCTGCCGTCCTTTAGGGTCTGCCTTCCAGCGGGCTCCCCAGGGACCTCCAGCCCCGAAACACCTGCGCGCCGCCGCCTCCACTGCGGTGAGGGGGCAAGGCCGCTCCAACCTGGGGCATCGACCATCTGCGCGTCTGCAGCCCAAGGTGGAGGCTGGGTCCGATCGAAAGCATCGACCGCCCGCACGTCCGCGGCATCGATCACAGGCCCGCTGCCTGCCTTTAGGGTCTGCCCTTCCACAGGCTCCCCAGGGGCCGCCAGCCCCGAAACACCTGCGCGCCACCGCCTCGCCTGCGGCGTGGGGGCTAGGCCGCTCCACCTGGGGGCATCGACCACCTGCGCGTCTGCAGCCCAAGGTGGAGGCTGGATCCGATCGAAGGCGTCGACCACCCGCACGTCTGCGGCATCGATCCAGGACCCGCTGCCTGCCATTAGGGTCTGCCCTTCAACGGGCTCCCCAGGGGCCGCCAGCCCCGAAAAATCTCCGCGCCGCCTGCCTGACAGCTGGTCCCTGAAAAACCGTCGCACTGAACCCTAAAGCCCCGACCCACCGCCTTCGGCCAACTTGGCCCTGGCCGCGTCGACCGCAGCTTGCAGCTCCTGGGTGCTGGGGGTGTCGGCTCCCCCGGTGGGTGTCGTGGCCGACCCAGGCCCTGCAGGCTCAGCACCAACAGCGGCAGCACCAGCCGCAGGAGGAGCCCCAAGTGCCGCTGGGGGTGGCGTTCCAGGCTGGGATGCTGCGGCGGCGCTGGTGCCATCTCCACTGTCGGACTGGCGGGCACGCTTGGCCGACAGGCGCTTCCGCATGTCTCTGGCTTCCGCCCTGAGCCGCTGCATGTTGTCGGCGCTGGGCCCGATGGCAGCCACGATTGCCTTCTGGATCTCAACCGCCATGTTGCTCTTGAGGGCAAGCCACCGCTGCTTGTCCTCGTCTCCGATTTCGAGCTCACTGAGGTCGAGAGCCTCGCCGTCCATGATCTCCACACCATCGAAACCACTCTCCTCCCCCAGCAGCTGCGACAGGTTGATCTGGGAACCCGTCGGCACATGCACCGCCTCAGGCGGAGGCCCCGCACCAGGCGTCGAGCCGCGGGCCTTCTGTAACTCAGTCCTGAACTCCTCTTGCCAGGCCGTCTTGGCCTGCACCGCCCACGCAGCCGCCTCCTGGGTCCGCTGGCTGCACTCCGCCAGCCGGCGCCGCGCCTCGTCCTCCTGGCGGACCGCGTGCTCCAAGGCCTTCTCCGCCCTCCTGCACGCCACGCCCTTCGCACTGATGGTCTTTTCCAACAGCGGCTGGCGGGCTGGCTGCGCAGGCGCTGGCGGCGCCACCGCTTGGACCAGGGCCTGCAGCTCCTGCGCCCCTGCGTCCGCCTTGACATGCTGCTGGAGCTGCGTGAGGAGCTCCGCCACTGTCGGCTGCTTGCCCGCCCCTCGCTGTGGTGGGGTCGAGACCCGCGGTGCCTCCATGCGGCTGGGTGCCCAGGTCCCTGGCGGGCGCGCGGGCCCTTGCTGGCCACCACCCTCGCCACCTGGTGACCATACTCCTTTGGCCTGGCGCCACGGCGGCGGTGGCGAGGGGACCAGCGCATTTCCACAGGAGAAGCAGTGCTCTCGCGTCTTCCAGTTCCAGCGGTAGCGGCAACTTGGGCAAGAAAGGTAGCCCTTGGCGGCATCCTTGCCCATGGGCTCCTCCAGGAGCTCACCGAGAAAGGAGGGATGTTGTGCCAACCAGGCACAGGGTACAATCGCGGAGTGGCCGTGAGGCCTCGTGTGAAAGCAGCCTGGACGCTGGCCCAGGGATCGCAGGTGGGGGCGCACCTCCCCCTTGCCAAACCTCAAGTCGCTGAGCCTCCCGCTACGGACTTGAGCCAAAATGGCTACGGAGAGGAGGAGGAGGAGGAGGAGGAGGAGGAGGAGGAGGAGGAGGAGGAGGAGGAGGACGAGGAGGAGGCGGAGGGGGAGGAGGAGGAGGAGGCGGAGGAGGAGGAAGGGGCGCGCACGGCCTCGCCCATGCGGTGCGCCTCCCGGGCCTCCGCGCAGGACCGCCGGAGGGCGCGGAGGCTCGAGACCGCCACGAACCTGCCCCAGTTCCCGCCAGGGGCGGGGAGGCCCTTGACCTCCCTCCCTGCGACGACGACGACGAGGACGAGGACAAGGACAAGGACGAGGACGAGGACGACGTGGACGACGAGGACGAGGACGACGAGAACGACGACGACGACGACGACGACGACGAGGACGACTCCCTCCTCTAGACCGTCCGCCTGGCAACGGTGCCTGGCCTCGAGACACGCAATATCCCGCGTGCCGGCACACTGTTCGCAAACGCTCGACCACCGCGCGAGTTGTGACAAGCGTGACCAGGTCCTCCTCGTCCTCATCCTCGCCCTCCACCTCCTCCACCTCCTCCTCCTCATCATTGCATCCGACGCCACTTTGGTTTTTGGCAGCGTGGCTCCCCAAAGGTCTGGACCCTTGCCCTGGGGCGGGCTTCTCATCCCGAGTAATTTTTCGACGGCACTGGGCCCCGGTGAATGCTGGCAATCCCCAATCCTGGAATGCGTGGTGTATGAGCTTCGGCGGCTCGAGAAAGCCAGACATCCGACGCTGTGCTTTTCCCAGCGCAGTCCCCCGCCAGGTCTGGACCCCTTACTGCCACGGGGCCGGGCCTCGTTTTGACGGCCCGGGAGCCCGGTGGGGGTCCCCGTGGGCCGAGGGAAAGCTGTCAAAAACCTCGCGTCGTGATCTTTGCCCTAGGTCGGGCGTGTCCTCCTACAGGCGGATTCTGGACAAACAATAAAAAAGACTCAAACAAATACTCAAACATAGTCAAAACATACTCACAGCATCGTCCCCGTGCTACTTTGGACTATTCTTGAGCATTCCCCCTGTAGAGGGACATGCCCGATTGAATTTTCGCGGAAGCTGGGATGGGGAGGAGGGAGGAGCAGGCAGGAAGAGAGTGAGATGTGGGTTGGCATGCTACGTAGAGGAAGAAACAACGGCACAACCAGAAACTTTTGGAGGCCCGCGCCAACCTCCTCTTCCTCCTCCTCCTCCTCCACCTCCTCCTCCCTCCTCCCTCCTCCTCCCTCCTCCTCCTCCTCCTCCTCCTCCTCCTCCTCCTCCTCCTGGATCTGTGCTGGGCCCCCCCGCTCCTCCCTGGCGTGCGGAGCGCGCCAGGGGCGGAGCCCGAGGCCCCGCAAAGGGGGGCCCCGCGCGGCTCCGAGACATCCGCGCGGCGCGCCAAACGTTTATGTGCATGCTGTTCTTTCTTCTTCGAGATGGGGGACGCGGGAGGAGGAGGAGGAGGAGGAGGAGGAGGAGGAGGAGGAGGCGGGTTCGAGGGCTCCACCAGCACCAGCCGGAGACAAGTCCGCAACTTCGAACTTCAAGGAGGAGGAGGAGGAGGAGGACAACACCGACAGCATCGACCGGATGTTACGAACGTGCTCCGCTGGCCAGGTGCTGGATGGAGCAAGGGGGACTGAGAGCATGATACCCCTCGCTGCTCTGCCAGAGATCGGGCACGCCCCCGCCCCTCTCACCAACGGCGGGCGATCCAGAGACCCGCGCGTCTTTCTTCACGGCGTGGCTCCTCAGAGGTCTGTTGGGCGGCGAGGAGAAAGGTGCACTTTCGGGCCCTGAAGGGCCCCGCTAGGGTTAAGTCGGGCGTGTCCCCCTGCAGGGGGATTTTCGACGAAACATGAACAATATTCAAGAATTGGTATAAAAAAGGCTCGACAAATAGTCCTCTGACTATGTTTTCACTAGTTTTGAACATTCCTCCTGTAGGAGGACAAGCCCGACTGAACTCTAGGGGCCCTCTCATCCCGAGTATTTTGTTGGCGGCCACGGGGCTCAGCAAGGGCCCCCAGAGCCGCAGCTTACAACACAGTGCCTGCCGCAGTGCTTGTATGTGTGTACTCGCGACGCGAGGAGGCCAGGCGACCGCAGTCATTGCAAGCTCGTGCCATCTACGTCGTCCCCCTGATGCAGCCGCCGCCGATGCTCATCCTCCACCTCATTTCCCTCCTCCTTCTCCTCCTCCTCCTCCTCCGCCTCTCCTGTGCCTCCTTCTCCTCCTCCGCCTCCTCCTCCACCTCCTCCTCCTCCTCCTCCTCTCCTCCTCCTCCTCCTCCGCCTCCTCCTCCGCCTCCCTCCTCCTCCTCCTCCTCCTCCTCCTCCTCCTCCTCCTCCTCCTCCTCCTCCTCCTCCTCCTCCTCCTCCTCCTCCTCCTCCTCCCTCCTCGCACGGCGTTCTGCGTTGCCGTGTTTCCCCCGTGCTCGCGGCGGCGCGCCCGGGCGGACCAGGCAGAAGGGCCGGGCCTGCTCTCGGAAGGCCTCCGGCCCTCGGCGAGAAGCCTCTCCCGCGAACCCCCTTCCGAGGACACCGACGGCCCTCAGAGGGCGCGAGTGCTTCTCAGAAGCCCCGCCGCCGTCTGCCCCCTCGGAGAGCAGCACGACCCACCCTCGGGAGCGGCCAAGATGGGGGTGTCCAAGAGAGGGGGGATGCAAATCATGACTGGCGGCATGTGCGCGGCCCAGCGGGGGGACCAGGGACGTAATGAAATAAGAAGAGGCGCCATGAAATCTGGGGAAATATTATGGCCCCCGCCATGATATCCCCCCCCCCCCCAGTCATCACCCCCCTCTTTGCCGCCCCCAACACCCTCTCGCTTCCCCCTCGGCGCGCCGCCGGATTTGACTGGCGGCATGTGCGCGGCCCAGCGGGGGGACCAGGGACGTAATGAAATAAGAAGAGGCGCCATGAAATCTGGGGAAATATTATGGCCCCCGCCATGATATCCCCCCCCCCCCCAGTCATCACCCCCCTCTTTGCCGCCCCCAACACCCTCTCGCTTCCCCCTCGGCGCGCCGCCGGATTTTGTTGGAACGAGGGGCTCCCGCTCGCGCGGATCCGAGGCGCGCGAGCACTGGCAGGATGCGGGGCCAGCAGGTCCACGCTCTTCTCATTCCCCTCCCTACTCCCCCGCTCCTCCCTCTCTCCTTCTCCCTCCCTCCCTCCCTCCCTCCCTCCTTCCTCCCTCCCGCCCTCCCCCTCCCTCCTCCCTCCCTCCTCCCTTCCTCCTTCATCCTCCCTCCCCCCCTCCCCCTCCTCCCTCCCTTCTCCTCCCTCGCTAACAAAAAGCCTGGGGGGCACCCGAATGGATCCCCACCCCCGTCACACGGGGGGATCCTTGGGCGTGGGGGTTCTGGTCCCGGGTCCCTCACCAGCACGCCGCCCGAACACAGCCTCTTTGAGGACTGGCCCCGTGGCACTCCTGGCCTGGCTGTGTTATCTAATCATGAACAACTTGATGCATAACGCAGGCAGGGGCGGCCCGGCAGGGGCAGAGGGGAGGGAGAGGGAGGGAGATGGAAATGAGGGGCGGAACGCGGGGCGGCTGTGCTGGTCGTGCAGGCGGGCGTGGCGGTCGTTACGGGGGCGGTCCCGCTGGCCATGGCGGTGGCGGACGTGCTGGTCGTGACCGCGGCGGCCGCGGTTGGCGTGGCTGCGGCGCCGGGCGCGCCCAGTCGCTCCGTGGTGGTGGTGCTGGCGGGCGTGGTGGTCCCTCCTCCCTCGCGGAGCAGCGCGGCCCAGCAACGGGGCAGAGGGGGCCGCGGCGTGGCGGGGACCCCTCGGGCTGGAGGAGCGTCCGCGGGCGCAGGGCGCGACCTCGCGCGAACTTTTTTCTGCACCACCGGCGGGGCGCCCGCCCCGGGGGCGGCGGGGAAGGGCTCGTGCCCCTACACCCTGCGAAATGCTTAAGAAATCATGGGTTAAGAAATTCATAGCCTCAGATCTTGAATAAAAACCCAACGTTTCTATTAAAAACTTAAGATTTACATTGAAACGTTAAGAATAATCGAGACTCCGGACGAAAACTCAAGTTTTCTTAAGCATCGCCTAAGGTGTACGCTGGCACGTGGGGGCCCAAGCTGCTCAGCCGCCCTGGGACAGGCGCCCCCTCGATGGCGGACAAGTGGACCTTCTTCCGTGCGTCGTCCGCCGGGGAGAGGAAGGGCAGGGGAGCCAACCATCGAATGGATACGTCGGACCGGCGGTCAAAATGGATCGGATCGGCGGAAACCGGCAGCCGAGTCGGAAGAAGTCGAACCAGCGGCAATCGGAAGGCTAGCAGGCCTCCAACGAGAAATCGGAATCCGAATCGGAAGCCGAAGTCGAATGGAATCGGACTCGGCAGCCATCGAAATCGAATCGGATCGAATCGGGGGAATCGAAACGAGCCCTGCCTCCGCCTCCTCCTCCTCCTCCGCCTCCTCCGCCTCCTCCTCCTCCACCTGACCTAATGACTACCTACCAGACCACCCCGACCCAACCCGAAAATCCGAATTTGATCCGAGTTTCGGGTTGGGGGGGTACGGGTTCCATGAGTTTTTTGTCAATGTTCCCCGACCCCCCCCCCACTGGAAAACGAGGGTAAATTTGGGCCTTCGGGTCGGGGTGGGGTGGTTTGGTGGGTGGTGACCTAAGGAACCCTGAATAAGGAACGAGGCCCCTTTCTTCCACAGGCTGGGTTTCGCTTTCCCATCGAAAAGTCCAAAGGAACACCTGAGGCAGACTGTGAAACAGTCAAGGAACACGGAGCCCCTCCTCAACGAAAAAGGCTCCTTCTTCAGCGCACCGACTGTACGCTTAGGTCGGGCGTGTCCTCCTACAGGCGGACTTTGGATGATCAGTGGGACGTAGCGAAAATATCTGCAAGCAATGCCAAAAAAGACCCAACAGATCGCCTCCTTACTTTTTTGACTGTTTTTCAACATTCCTCCTGTAGAGGGCCGCGCCCGACTTGACTGTACGCCCCTCCTCCTCTGGACCTGACCTGTTTGGGGGGGGAGGCCTGGGGAGGGCGCCCCGACTGGGGCGGGGGCCCCCTGGAGGGCCCACAGGGCACATCGCATCGCTGGTCGAGCGCGGCGTGCACGGACCCGGCTCCGCGCAGACTTCTTCCGGCCAGATTGGAGTTAGATCGGGCATGCCCCCCGACAGGCGGATTTCGGAGGAACAGACAGAACATAGTCTAAACGTGGCCCAGCAAGGGTCAAAAGCAGCAAAACGAAATCGTCCCCGGACTACCTTCTGGCCGTTTCTGAGTGATCCCCCTGTAAAGGGACATGCCAGGCGGAAGGTTCGAGAGCATGCGCCTCGGCCCTTCTTGTTGCGGGGCTTTCCAGACACGGCTCGGCCGGTGCGCACAAGAAGGCCACCTGCCTCTCCACAGCCGAGCGCCGGCCCGAGTCCGGCCTCGCGGGATCCCGCAGGATGGGGGCCTTCCTTGGCGGCGAGCGGGGGGGGGGAGGAAAGCGAGAAGGGGCGGGCCTCCTCGGAAGGCTCGGACGTCCCCAAGCCTGCTGAGAAGTTTCCCAAGCCTTCCCCGAAGGCCCAGAAAACTTCTCTCAGAAGGCGCGGGGGCTTCCGAGAAGTCCCGCCGCCTTCCGAGAAGGCCTTCTCCTTCTCACTTCCCCCCCCCCCCTCGCTCGCCGCCGACTTCCGCCTGAGCTCCTGAGCATCGTTCAGCCGATCCATATCCCCGCTCCCTCATGCACTGGCCCTCCCCTCCCATACAGGAAGAGCATGGCGCTCCGCGCAACCCTGAAGTAGTCCGGCGGCTGCGCGCTGTCCTCGCCCCACGTGTTTCTCTCTCTCTCTCTCTCTCTTTGGCGTCGTGCCCTGGCCTCTTGACGTGCCGAACGAGCGATGCCCAAAGAGCGAACGATCGACCTTCGCTGCGGACAAGCGCCCGGGCCTGGCTCAGACCAGGCGGGTGAGGCCGTGGCATCTGGACTCTGGAGTGCCTGCACGTATGTAGTGCGAGACATATAAGACGTTATGAGCAGGAAGAGCCAAGACAAGACAAGACATCGCAGTGGAGCTCTGAATCGGCAATAAACGGTGAGATCGAAACAGCTCTGCGCGCTGCACTTGCAGCTGGACCTCGCTCGAGAACGCAGGTGGCCAGTCAGGCCCCGCCCGCGCGCAGCGTAGGCGCGTGCGCCGTCTCGACTTCGAGCCAGGGTGAAGGGTACGACCCGTCGAGGGCCCGTGCTACAAGGTCTGTGCGCGTCTACTCGTCTGACCACCCCTCGGGTGAGCGGGAGGCGGGAGGCTCGGCGGTGGACAAACCTCCCTGTAGTAAACCTCCCCTCAATGAAAACGGCCTGGGAACGAAACCGACGGACCTGGACCCGCAGAAGTGACGGCCGCGACGCCCTCTCGCGAAACGAAAACGGCCAATTCCTTAACCGACGTGTCAGTGTAAGAGGTCTATCCACCTCCGAGAGGCGGGGGGGTGGGGGTCCCCAGACTGCTCTCAGTACTAGGGGAACAAAAAGTGACATAAACAGAAAAACTCGGAGGTCCGCGCGGATTTCTCGGGTCGGCGCTGGACCCCCCTCCCTGGCGCGCGGAGCGCGCCAGGGGCGGCGCCGGAGGCGCCGCCAGGGAGGTGCAGCGCCGATCCGAGAAATCTGCGCGGACCACCGAATTTTTCTGTTTATGCCACTTCTTGTTCCCCTAAATACGTTTCACTGCCTTGCCAAATCCTTTGGGCTGCAGGCCGAAGAGACTCGGGTCCAGACAGAAACGGGTACGGAAACCACTGGCACGATGCCCAACAGCACATGCTGCCCCAAGCCGACAGCGGCCGCTGCTGGGCGGCCAGCCGGCCGCCTCAAACAGGCAACGTCAGCGGCGACACCGACAGCGAGTCCTGTTCAACGTGGACAGGGACTACCGTCGGTCTGCGTACGCTACGTACCCTCAGAAGCCGGGCGAAGGCGGGCAAACCCGTGGCTGCGAAAACGGAGCCCGTTTGCTGTTCAGTGCGCTGGGTCTTCTTCCGGGAATGTGTGTTGCTTCTTGGGGGAAGACCGTTGTTTCAGTACCAGCCTTCCGACTACCCATTCCGTCCGTACCTGTTTCGATCAAACCGACCCTTGGGCTGCAAGCCGAACGGGCTCGACTCCCGAGCGGAAGCCCCGGGGCCAACCACGACCGCTGCAGCTGCCCGCCGGCACATCCTGCGCGCCTAGGCGGCCCAGAGGCGGCCGAGGGGGGGCAGCGGGCCGCACGCCAGGCGGCGGGAGCCATGGGACTCAGGGGGCTCCCGCGCGGAATGTGCTCTCCTCGCCCGCTTCCTCGCCCCCTCGCGCCGCAGGGCTGGAGGGCACCTCCTCCGCCCCGCACGCAGGGCGGGGGGGGAACGGTGAGCAGGAGCAGTGGGACTCCTCGCCATGGCTCGGGCGCCCGTTCCCCGCGCATGGCTCGGATGCCCTGCGCGTCTACTCTCGCAAGGTGATCCTGGATGCTCCTCGATGGTCCGCGCCGAGACAAACATGCCCACGTCCGAGTGATGCCAAAAACTCCAGGTTGCCGCACGGAGTGTGATCCATCGCCCGCCTCGTCCCCCCCCGCGCTGCAAGGCTGGAGGGCACCGTGGGCGGCCAAGAGGGTGGCGTCCAAGAGGGGGAGGGTGCAAATGATGGCCACCGGCATGTGCGCGGCCCGTGGGGGGGGCCAGGGACGTAAAGAAGTAAGAAGAGGCGCCATGAGATCTGGGGAAATATCACGGCCCACGCCATGATATCCACCCCCCCCTCTTTGCCGCCCCCGATCCTTGAACCGGGGCCTGTGAAGGCGGGGCCCGGAAGCGAGCGAAGAACGGCGGGTTCCCCCCCACCGGCACCCTGCAAGGCCGGAGGGCGCATCTTCCGCTCCGCACGCCGGGCGGGCGCGGCCGGGACAGGAGCGAGGGCCCGAATCAGCCGCGCGCAGAGTGGGGGGGGAGGGGGAGAGGGCTTCTTAGAAGCACCCCTGCTTCTTAGAAGGCGCGGGCCCTATCTGTAGATGGAAGGCCGGCGCCTTCCAAGAAGCGGCCTCCTTCTGAGAAGCCCGCCCCCCTCCCTCCGCCCCCTTGTGTTCAGTCGGGCGTGTCCCCCGAGGAAAAATAACAAATACTCAAAAAATGCCCCCCAAAGGCCAACAAATGCTAACACAAATCGTTCGCAGACTATCTTTTTTTAAACTACTTTTGAATATTCCCCCTGTGGAGGGACAGGCCCGACTTAACCCTTCTGAGCGCCGGCAACCGAAGGCGGGGCCCGCAAGCGAGCGACCGGCAAGGTTCGCGCGCTCGCCGGCGGCGGCGTGCCCCCCAGCAGGAGCTCCTGGGCACGTGTTCAGGCGGTGCGCAAGAACGACACGTGTGTGCACAGAGATGCAGCAGTAGGTCTACATGTAGAGCAGCCCCAAGCAAGATACGTATGTATTTATATATAATATACGAATATATATATATATATATATATATATATATATATATACATATATATATATATACATATACATATATATAGAGAGAGAGGAGAGAGAGGGAGAGAGAAACAAAAAGGAGACACAAATAACAAATGAAGTGAGGGAGACATAGAGGGAGAGAGAGAGAGAGAGAAAAAGAAAGAGATAGAGAGAAAGAGACAGAGACAGAGGCAGAGGGGAGTGCGGCGTCACGCGTCGCAAGAGTGCTGCTGGGAAACAAGTGAATGCAACAGCGCGTAGACGCATAGGCCACAAGCGGTGCTCTACACTCACAATCCCCCTCAATCGGCATGCTGAATTGTGATGTCGGCATCCCCACCGCACCTCAGAATGGTCAGGCCCTTCTAGACTCAAGGGGAAGGTGATGAAGTCAATACTTCCTTCAGCTGCAGCTTCATAGAGAATGCCTGGCGGCAGCACACAAGAGGATGCGTGAAACTCTGAAAACGATGGACTGGACGAACGCAAGCGGATAAGTTGCCGCAATCCGAGGCGGAGCATTTCATGGTACGAATGCTCCGAGACGTTAATCAACAAACTTTCGAAGATGAAGCGCTGCGCCTGTAGATGCCGCGCGCGACAGAGGACCATCTCTGCACAACTCCTACTAGGCGGTAGTGCTAGCAATGGGGCAATCGTGAGACGGCCATGAAATCATGACTGCCCCCGTTTGCGGAAAGAGCAGCTGTGGCGGGAACGATGCACAATCTTGATGTAACATGGTTCACACGGTGCCGCCCCGCTGAGACCATTCATAAGCACCCTAACAGGGGGAATGGCTTAAATGATAGTTTCTGCCGCTGGGAAGTATTCCGAAGAGGACGATCAACGAATTCAACTGATTTAGACGACGACCACGAGCGGGCCCATAATCCAATGTATTGATCATCGCTCTCAAGGAACTGCTGCTCATCACCTGTATCGAAATAGATCGGACAACAAACGGATTGGTCTCAATGCGCAGGTGACGTCCACGTCTCGGACTTGCCACAGAACGTGCTGGGTTACCAAGTCGGCCAACGAGACCTAATCGATGCGAGAGTGACACGCGAGAAGGGTCAGCATCCAACCGCTATGAGACGGCCAGGGGTCAACACGCAGGATCGGTCAACATCGGATCGAAACGTCGGATCGAATCGGAATGCGCGTCGGATCGGGCTGCGTCGGTGCGGATTCGACATCGAATCGGATCGGCTGCGCCAAGACGCATAACAACGCAATGCAACCATCAAGCCGCATCGGATCGTCGGTATGTCGGAATCGATTCGGTGTCAATCCAATCGGCATCACCCAGAGAGCTATTTTTGCGAGCGAGGCCGGGACGGCAAGTCAGCAGCCAGTGTGCTAGAAGAACTAGTCATCAGGAACTGTGATATTACACGACAGATCTCAGTGGACGAAGACGCATCGACATATACATTAACAATCGGAGGTCGGCACATTAGCATCATATACATTGGCATGAGGAAGTGGGATATTACACGACAGATCTCAATGAATGAAGACGCATCGACACATACATTAACAATCTGAGGTCGGCACAGATTTCTTGGATCGGCGCTGGGTCCCTCCCTGGCGCGCGAAGCGCGCCCGGGGCGGCGCTGGAGGCGCCGCCAGCGGGGTCCAGCGATCAACTATACCTGCGCTTGGCTTTACTCCGGTCCTCCTCCTCCCCCTCCTCCTCCTCCTCCTCCTCCGCCTCCTCCTCCTCCGCCTCCTCCTCCTCCTCCTCCTCCTCCTCCTCCTCCTCCTCCTCCTCCTCCTCCTCCTCCTCCCCCCTCCTCCTCCCCCCCCCTCCCCCTCCTCCTCCTCCTCACCCCCCTCCCCCTCCTCCTCCTCCTCCTCCTCCTCCTCCTCCTCCTCCCCCCCTCCCCCTCCTCGCCTCCTCCCCCTCGCCCTCCTCCCTCCTCCTCCTCCTCCTCCTCCTCCTCCTCCTCCTCCTCCTCCTCCTCCTCCCCCCTCCTCCTCCTCCCTCCGCCTCCTCCTCATCCGCCTCCTCCTCCTCCTCCTCCTCCTCCCTCCTCCTCCTCCTCCTCCCCCTCCTCCTCCTCCTCCTCCCCCTCCCTCCTCCTCCTCCTCCTCCTCCTCCTTCTCCTCCTCCTCCTTCTCCATTGCTCTTCCTGATGACTAACTTCTCCCTGTCGCACAGCGAGGCTAGTTTTTAGGGCGGTCTGGGCGTTTCGCCTGAGACTTCCTCAGCATGTCTGACTCTGAATGCTTAATACTTTGGCAACAGTTTCACAGATGGAGGGCGGGTGGTCTTTCAATATGGCTCTCGCCTTAGCGCGGCGCACATTCATGTTAGACATCTGCAAGGGCTTCGCGGATTGAGGGCGGTTCGCTTTCAAAATGTTGTTCTCGCCTTAGCGCGGCGCACATTCGTCTCAAACATTTGCAACGGTTTTACGGATTGAGGGCGTGTCGTGTTCAACATGCGCGGCGCACATTCGATTTAAAGATTTGCAGAAGTTTCGTGGATTGAGGGCGGGCCGTTTTCAAAATGTGGCTCTCGCCTTAGCGCGGCGCACATTCGGATTAAACGTTTGCAACCGTTTCGCGGATTGAAGGGGGGGTCCCGGGGGGTCGTTTTCAAAATGTGGCTCTCGCCTTAGCGCGGCGCACATTCGGTTTAAACATGTGCAACAGCTTCACGCATTGAGGGCGGGTCGTTTTCAAACTGTGGCTCTCGCCTTAGCGCGGCCCACATTCTGATACAACTTTTGCAACAGTTTCGCGGATTGTGGGCGAGTCGTTTTCAAAATGTGGCTCTTGTCTTAGCGCGGCGCACATTCGTTTTAAACATGTGCAACAGTTTCACGGATTGAGGGCGGGTCGTTTTCAAAATGTGGCTCTCGCCTTAGCGCGGCGCACATCGGTTTTAAACATGTGCAACAGTTTCACGGATTGAGGGCGGGTCGTTTTCAAAATGTGGCTCTCGCCTTAGCGCGGCGCACATTATGATTAAACTGTTGCAGCAGCTTCACGGATTGAGGGCGGGTCGTTTTCAAACTGTGGCTCTCGCCTTAGCGCGGCGCACATTCGTTTTAAACATTTGTAGAGATTTCACGGATTCCCATCATCGGCGTACTAGAAATGGTTTTGGAAGGGTTCAGGATTGAGCGGGTGCAACAGTTAGGTTGCTTCTATGTGTTAAAGTCCTAGGACTGGCGTTCTGGCACGATTCAAGATCATCAAGACGCAACAATCAGGTTGATCCGTGGCGCTGTAATCCCGACAACAATGTTTTGGCATGCTTCAGGGTCTTCAAATGGGCGTCTTCCAACGAAGCAGTTCCATCAATGGCAATGAATCGTTGTAGGGGCCTATAAAAAGAGGGAGCTTTGGGGGAGGGTTCACTCCAACATCGTTGATGACTCTTGGGTTTACACTGGTCCTCCTCCTCCTCCTCCTCCTCCCTCCTCCTCCCTCCTCCTCCCTCCTCCTCCCTCCTCCTCCTCCTCCTCCTCCTCCTCCTCCTCCTCCTCCTCCTCCTCCTCCTCCTCCTCCTCCTCCTCCTCCTCCTCCTCCTCCTCCTCCTCGTCCTCGCCTCCCGACGGCCCTCCGCCCTCCTGCACGGGCCGCGCCTCCGAGCGCTCCTCCGCCCAGGGGGCCCGCGACGATGCTGCTGTAGCCTCTTCGGCCGGCAGTGGCGCGGAGCGGTGGGTCGGAGGAGGCTTTGGAGGAGGATCCCTAACCTCGAGCCTCTAGCCTCTAGCCTCGATCCTCTAGCCTCGAGGGAGAGGGAGGAGGAGGAGGAGGAGGAGGAGGAGGAGGAGGAGGAGGAGGAGGAGGAGGAGGAGGGGGAGGAGGAGGAGGAGGAGGAGGGGGAGGAGGAGGGGGGGAGGAGGAGGAGGAGGAGGAGGAGGAGGAGGAGGAGGAGGAGGAGGATCAGCATGGATGAGCACGATTTGTTGCCCCCCCCCCAGCCTGTTGCAGCAGCGCTGGTGGAATCCTGTGGTCTCATCGGCGTTGCTTCGAGCATCGTGCGAAGATCGGTCTGAATTCAGTTTCCGGCAAGATAGCTGCATACACAGCTCAGCACAGGGGGCAGAAAAGGGTTTGCAGCAGCGCTTCCCCACCTCCGTAGCCAGAGGCCCCACAGAGGGCCGTGCTTGCAGCACGCATTTGCACTGCACACGCGTTGAGTCCAGGACACAAGTCATCAGGAGGATGACCAACATGAAAGAAGCCCAGACGTCCTCACGGAAACACGCGACGGACAACTTCTCAGCCCGTATCCAGACAGCAACCATCAGCATGCTTCTGCCCGCTCTCGGCCCCCAAAGGCCCTCGCCTGTCCCCTGGGGGTGCCAGGAAACGCCTCGGGAACCGAGCTGCGAGATGATCACGACGTCGGCTGCCTGGGGATGGGTCCCGGACGAAAGGAGCCCCTGGAGGAGGGAGGAGGAGGAGGGGGGAGGGGGGGAAGAGGAGGAGGAGGAGGAGGAGGAGGAGGAGGAGGAGGAGGAGGAGGAGGAGGAGGAGGAGGAGGAGGAGGAGGAGGAGGAGGAGGAGGAGGAGGAGGAGGGGAGGAGGCGACGAAAGGAGCCCCTGGACCTGCCCCGCCCTCCTCGAGCCCCTGGGGCCCTCCACGGGCCGCCCAGAGAGAGCGGCCCGGGGCGGAGGACGGGCCCGGAGGGGAGGCCCTGGGGGTCTGGGACCCGCGCAAGACGTGGCGCCCAGAGTGAAGGCGCCCCAGGACACACAAATAAATACACAATAATAAAACAATTCCCCATATTTTCCCATATTTTCTGGGTTTTTGTCTTCCCCCCCCCCCACTTCCCATATTTTCTCATATTTCCTCTCCTGACAGAGGTCTGGACCGGCTCCTCAGCTCGAGCAGCTCCTGACGGCCCCAGGGCCTGGCAAGAGGCCCCAGGGAGCCCGAGCAGGGGGCAGCGCAGCCTTCCGCCGCGAGCTCGCCACGGCGCGGGGAGGCCCGGGCGGGACCCTTCTCCTGCACGGCGCGGGGAGAGGAGCCCCTGGGCATCCCCAGAACCCTCCCCCGAGGCCCGCGGCGGGCCCGCGGGGGCTCCCGAAGAGGCCCGGCGGGGCCTCTGGAGCCCGAGGAGATCTCCGAGGCCCTGCTTCCGTCAGCACGTGCCCCCCCCCCCCCCTGGAGACTTCCCGATCGGCCTCCGAAGCCTTCCACGCGGCCCTCCCCGCCCCGCCTCCTGCCCACACCCGCTCGGCTCGGGACCCTGGACCCTGCCGCCCTCAAATTCCGTTCCCCCTCCTCCCAGGCATCCGACGCCGTGCTTCTCTTTTCAGGGCGTGGCCCCCCACAAGTTCGGACCCCTCTCTGGGGACTGGTTTCTCATCCTGGGGCCCGCTGATGAAGCCAAAAACTGGCAAACAACGGGGGGGAGGGAGGGGGAACAGCGAGCTCGGAGCCAGGAGGAGGAGGAGGAGGAGGAGGAGGAGGAGGAGGAGGAGGAGGACGAGGAGGACGAGGAGGAGGAGTGGGGAAGGCGGTGGAGGAGGTGTGTTTCTCCGTATGGCGAGGCGCAGAACTGCCGAGCGTCGGGTTAGTTGGCCACTTGGATGGCGGCTGCTGTGCCCTTGGGGGTCCCACCGCCAGCCCTTGGGCCAGCCTGGCAAGGTTTCGCCGTCCAACCCTTGTAGCTGGACGGCGCTGGTCGAGGAGCTTTCCTTCAATCACGCAGCGGTGGGAGCCCAAGCCCCCACAGACGTCGCTGGCGAGCACCATATCCTGCCCAGGCCCCCCTCCCCACGCCGAACCACCCGAGACAGTGCGAGACATGAGCGACCGCCCCGCGCCCTCGTCGGGCCAGCAGCCTTCGCGAGGGCGGAGGGCCCGGGAGCGGCAGGGCTGCTTCAGCCACTGGACGAGGATCGCCGTCCTGCGTGAGCTGGGTTCGGGGCTGCATTCGCGGCACTTCCGCCCCCTAGGATGCAGGGTATGGGAGGTCTCAGCATGGGCAACCCCGAGATCCAGGCGGGGCGTCTTGCCCTGCCCAGTGTGCTCGGTGCTCCGTGCTCGGGTCGAAGGGGGAACGGCAGCGGCGACGGAAAGCGTCCTGCTGCGGCTGGCGTCGGACTCCTGCTCAAGGTCCAAAGAGGCCAGTGCTTCTGCCTCGGGGACCTGGGCCGTGGCAGAGACATCGGTAGCAAGCTTGTCAACAACCTCGTTGGCCGTCGAACACCTAAACAATCACGGCTAACCGACATATGTTTCGTTTTCCGCAAGGTGGCTAGCTACTTGTGGACCTGAACACTCCTTTCTCCCAAGAGGCCTTTGAATGAGTGCCACGAGTGCTTGTGGTACCTGGGTGAACAAAATGCTCTGGAAAACTTGAACAACGCGCGAACAACAACGACGGGGCCAATTCTATAAGCCAACTCAACTCAACCTACCGACGCTGCCTCACCCTCCAGACTCCCATCCAAGGGAGTGCGGATACCGAACGCAAGAATCAACTGCATCCGCAGCAACGGCCCCGGCATAGCTCGGCAACCTCTAATCCCTGCCCTATGCTGTCTGCAGGGCACCCTCACCAGAAGGAGCACCAGCATCAATACCACTTCTCCCAGCGTGAGGCCTCTTTCATTGCAGCCGCCCTCGCGGGGCGCAACATTCCCATGCCTCCACCGGTTGTGCCCGACGACGGCATAACCACAGTCAGCCGGCCCTGACCTTTTTTCCACACCTCGCGCACTCTCGCACGACCCCGCTACGCACTCGCTGCCACCACGGCAGCAGCGGCACCCGCAGCCACACGGCACGGCAGCGGCGACTTCCCCACCTTCGCAGCAGGGCAGCGCAAGGCAACTCCAGCACACGCCTGCGTCCACAAGTGCAGCGTGTTCTAGTACAGCTGCGTTGCCCTCCTCGTTTCCCGGAACTCCTCGGGCAACGGCGAACTCCCCGGCCGCACCCTTGTGAAAGCCCCTCCTCGGGGGGAGGGGGTCCCGCTCGGGCCACGTCCACCCCCTCTCCGTTGTATCTTTTCCCGCCTCTCGCACTTCCCCTCGCCCTCTGCTGCTACTCGCCGCCTGGCGTCTTGGACACCGCCCCGCGCCCACGCCCCCTTTTCATCCCCCCACCTGCCAACCCTCTCCCTGCTTACGTCGAACATAAGCACTTCCCCCACCCGCCATCATCGATGACGGCGGCGGCGACCGAAACGCCCGCCGCGCAAGCGTGCGTCTCCACCCCCAGGTCAGCCGCTTGCGTGCCACGCATCCCCCCCCCCGCCAGTCAAAAACAAGAGCCGCCGCCTGCTGCCACATTGCACCGCACCTCCCACATTGGACGGGACCTCTCGAGCTTTCGTCAGGGCTTTGCAGCGTCGTCCGCACCTTACTTCTGCATGCCCGAGCTCCGCAGCTGCCTGCACGCCCTCCTGTGTTCAGCGGCGTTCTTGCTCCTATGGCCACTGCGCAGGCCCGACGAAAGCTTGAGAGGTCCCCACCAACGTGTGCCACCTCACCCCGCGGCGTGGATTCAGAAAACGGCGCGCCGAAATGGGTCTCAGCCGGGGCCCACGCTCGGGCCCCACCCGCACGCGCACTTTAGAACACAGGCAGTCTCGCTCTTCCACAGCGGGGGCCCGACCACAACAAACCTTCCACAAGAAGCCCAAGCCTAAGACCCCATGGCGTCCATTGATTTTTGGTGTGGGAATGTCACGCTTTCCATCGCAGAACCATCGAAGCTCAAGAAACCCAGGGCACCCTGGAGGCAAGCAGGGTGTTTCTTGGCGTGGGCATGGCCGGGATGGTTTCGCGACAAGCAGCTTCACGACAAGGAAGAAACATATTCACGACAAGCAAACCCACGTTCGCCACCCACTTTCGCCACCCACTTTCGCCGCCCACTTTCGCCACCCACTTTCGCCACCCACTTTCGCCACCCACTTTCGCCACCCACTTTCGCCACCCACTTTCGCCACCCACTTTCGCCACCCACTTTCGCCACCCACTTTCGCCACCCACTTTCGCCAATCACTCTCGCCACCAACCTTCGCCACCCACTTTCGCCACCCACTTTTGCCACCCACATTCGCCACCCACTTTCGCCACCCACTTTCACCACCAACATTCTCGCCACCCACTTTCGCCGCCCACTTTCGCCACCCACTTTCGCCACCCACTTTCGCCACCCACTTTCGCTACCCACATTCGCAACCCACTCTCGCCACCCGCTTTCGCCACCCACTTTCGCCACCAACTTTCGCCATCCACCTTCGCCACCCACTTTCGCCACCCACTTTCGCCACCCACTCTCGCCACCCACATTCGCCACCCACCTTCGCCACGCGCGCTCTCGCCACCCACTTTCGCCACCCACTTTCCTTCTTTCCTTCGCCACCCACTTTCTTTCGCACCCTCGCCACCCACTTTCGCCACCCGCTTTCGTTCGCCACCCATGTTTCGATCGCCACCCTCGTTCGTTCGCCACCCACTTTCGTTCGCCACCCACTTTCGCCCGCCACCCACTTTCGTTCGCCACCCACTTTCGTTCGCCACCCACTTTCGTTCGCCACTCAATTTCGTTCGCCACCCACTATCGTTCGCCACCCACTTTCCTTCGCCACCCACTTTCGTTCGCCACCCGCTTTTGCTCGCCACCCTCGTTCGTTCGCCACCCACTTTCGTTCGCCACCCACTTTCGTTCGCCACCCACTTCCGTTCGCCACCCACTTTCGTTCGCCACCCATTTTCGTTCGCCACCCACTATCTTCGCCACCCACTTTCGTTCACCACCCACTTTCGTTCGCCGCCCACTTTCGCTCGCCACCCACTTTCGTTCGCCACCCACTTTCGTTCGCCACCCCCGTTCGTTCGCAACCCACTTTCGTTCGCCGCCCACTTTTGCTCGCCACCCACTTTCGTTCGCGAAAGTTGGTGGCGAAAGTGGGTGGCGAAAGTGGGCGGCGAAAGTGGGTGCGAAAGTGGGTGGCCAAAGTGGGTGGCCAAAGTGGGTGGCGAAAGTGGGTGGCGAAAGTGGGTGGCGAAAGTGGGTGGCGATTGCTTGTCGTGAATAAGCTGTACCTTGTCGTGTTTCAGGTTTCTCTTGTCGTGTTTCAGTTTTCCTAGTCGTGAGAACATCCTAGTTTTGGCATGGGCCCCCACTGTACCAGCACTGCGCTCGTCACCCTATCTCGCCCCACCTCTTGGTTCTCGTGCCCTCCTCTTTGGCGCAGCCGGAAGAGGGCCGCGAGGGCTGCGCCCACTCTTGGAGACAAAGGCCTGCAGCTCGAAGCTCGAAGGCAGTTCGGTTCAGTTCTCAGGCCCTTCAAAACCATTTGTGACTGCTGGGGCACAGATCTGGTCCACTGGTGGGAGGAGGAGGAGGGAGGGAGGGAGGGAGGGAGGGACGGAGGGAGGAGGGAGGAGGGAGGAGGGAGGAGGGAGGGAGGAGGAGGAGGAGGAGGAGGAGGAGGAGGAGGAGGAGGAGGAGGAGGAGGAGGAGGAGGAGGGGAGGAATTTGTGACCACCAAGGCATTGTTCTTCCCCTGCCTTTATTTCGCCCAGTAAGGCCACCATGGTGCTATACGCTCGACCTGCTGTGAATTCGAGATTGCTACGAGGCGGAAATGAAGCGATCGGCACGGCTACGACGTGGCCCCAGGGACCCGAGGACGAGAAAGAGGAGACGCAACGGCCAGAGGCAGGCGGCGCACAGCAGGCTGCATGTCCTATCATGAGGCCCAGCGCGGGGGCGTGGCGGAGGGCGGTCACGAGTCCCAGCACGTCGTGAAGGTGCTGGAGCATGTGTCTCACATGACGCTGCTATCGGAAAGCCTGTGCCTCCCGCTCAGACGAATGTAAACACAACAACCACCTGCAACTGCTCAGACGAGAACCGCATCTCCACGCATCAGATCACCATCCCACGACAATTGAGTGAACACCCAAACGAGCTCCGTCTCGCGAGCAAGCGCCAACCACTATATGATATTTAGTTGACTTTGCCCGTTCTGTCGTAAAGCGTCCGCCGCAACTGGTCGCTCGTGCGAACGGACATGTCAATCCGGTGGACATCAAATCAGAAGACTACCATCCAGGAAACGATATGATTTATCAACCCACCGGACCCAGTAGAGGCAATCACCCATTGAGCAGTCTGAAAGATCTATCCACTGGAATGAGAAAGAGGAGGAGGAGGAGGAGGAGGAAGAGGAGGAAGAGGAGGAGGCGGAGAGGAACATGGTGAGCGAGAGGACAGGGGAGGAGGAGGAGGAGGAGGAGGAGGAGGAGGGAGGAGGACATGGAGGAGGAGGAGGACATGGAGGAGGAGGAGGAGGAGGACATGGAGGAGGAGGGGAGGAGGAGGAGGAGGAGGAGGAGGAGGAGGAGGAGGAGGAGGAGGAAGGGGACAGGCGAGACGACGACGACGACGGCGACGGCGACGACGATGACGACGGCGAGCATGGGCCTCCGCTCCGCTCGTGCTGAAGCACGAAGGCCCCGCTCCAGGTCCGCCCCCCGTCCTCGCTCCTGGGGCCGCGGGTCGCCCTCGTTCCCCCCCTCGTCACTCTCTCTCTCTCCCCCCTCCTCCCCCCCTCCTCCTCCTCTCCTCCTCCTCCTCCTCCTCCCCCTCCTCCTCCTCCTCCTCCTCCTCCTCCCGCCTTCTCCCCCCCTCTTTCTCCTCCTCCCTCCTTCCCTCCCTCCCTTCCTCACTCCTCCCTCTCTCCCTCTCTGCTGCTGCTGCTGCTGCTCCTCCTCCTCCTCCTCCTCCTCCTCCTCCTCCTCCTCATCTTCACCCTTCTGCCTCCCTCCCGTCCTCCACTCCTCCTCCTTATCAGAGTGACGGGGCCGAACGGTCATTCATTGTCCCTGGGTGCATGGCTTAAGTGAGAATCCGTGGTGAAGATTATGCGTATTGCGTTGCGGTTGTTGTTGTTGCTGCTGCTGCTGTTGTTGTTGTTGTTGTTGTTGTTGTTGTTGTTGTTGTTGTTGTTGTTGTTGTTCGTGATGTTGTTGTTATGACTGTTAATGTGGTTCTTGTTGTTGTGGTTGTTCTTGTGGTTGGTGTTGTTTTCTTGTTGTTGTCGTCGTCCCCCCCGCGACCCGCCCCGCGACCCACCCCGCGACCCATCCGCGACACAACCCGCGACCCACCCGAGACCCAACCAACGACACAACCCGCGACCCATCCGCGACCCACTCGCGACCCACTCGCGACCCACCCGCGACCCAACCGCGACCCACCCGCGACCCACCCGCGACCCACCCGCGACCCACCCGCGACCCACTTGCGACCCACCCGCGACCCACCCCGCGACCCACCCGCGACTCACCCGCGACCAACCCGCGATCCACCCACAGCGGTTTGAAGAAAGTATGGGCGCCTGCGGCGGGCTTCTCCGGAGTCTCGCAGACTGCCGACGTCCCCACCGCCCCCTTCACTCTTATCCGCATCTGCGGGGTGCTACGTACTCCTACCATTTCTCCTCTCTCCAGATCCTTCCCTTCCTCCTATTACTTCCGTTCCTCCTCCTTCTCCTCCACCGCCTTTCCACCCTTCTTCCCTGTACTCTTCCTGTTCCACTTCCCGTTATTATTCTTATGATTCCGCTTGCTTTTCCTCTTCCTCCTCCTCCGCCTCCTCCGCGTTCTCGTCCTCGTCCTCGTCTTCGTCCTCATTCTCGGCATCGTCCTCGTCCTCTTCCCCTTCCTCATTTCGTTCGCCCTCCCTTCAGATCGAGGCGTTGCCAAGATTTGGCACTTAGCAATGCGTTCAATGCTTTTCTGCTTGTGTGGGCGATCTCTCGGCACCAGGCCCGCCAGAAAACGGTTCAGGGTAAAACGCCGTCACCGGGGAAGTCGTCGAAGCCCAAGGAACCCACGTGACGAACATCTACATGTGTATTACACATTATTGATAAAAAACATACATACATAAATATATACATATATACATATATATATATACATATGTACATATATATACACATATATATATATATATACATTTATATATATATATATATGAATATATAGTTACGTACATACATACATACTCACCCGCTCACACCAAGTGTCCGAATATCCAGAATCACAGACCTCCCGAGTGAAAAAGGATGGAACCTAGACGGCGCTCGCCCTCTGATGGCGGTTTCTCTAGGGCGCCGCCCACGTGATTGTGAGCGGCCCAGCGAACGGGAAAACGGTGGGCCCACAACCCAGCTCACCTCGAAGTGTTGCCACTAGACGGAGGAGGGGGAGGAGGAGAAGTGGACGGCGCGGAGGCAGCAGCGAAGTTCGGCGGCGGGGAGCAGTAGACGGTCGAGGGAAGGGTACCTATTACGCTGGTGGGCCCTTCGCGCCTGTCGCGGGCTGGCCCTGTGCACAGGAGAGGCGCTGGTGGGCTCATTGTGGCGTCAGCCTCATCATGCGGCCTCGTGCTCGATGCTGTTGATGCCGTCTGTGCTGGGGTGCTGGTGGCTGGCGTCGGTGCTAGCGTCGGTGGAGTGTCGGTGAAGGAGATGGTGGCAACGCGCAGATCCCCGTCGCAGCGTCGGTGGCTTTCACTCTTCTCATGGACGCACTGGTGATGATCGGCTCATCAAGTGCAGTCCTCCCCCCCCAGTCGGGCTGTCTGTAGGGCAGCTCGGTAATCCCCCTCCCGCAAGCAACAACTCGGCACCCTACGGGCAAGCGTGCACGAAGCCGCTCGGGAGGGGGCGGCACGGTTGGTGGTCTGGCTCGTCCATCAGCGCGTCCATCCGGAGGGCCAGCTCGTCCTCCACGAATCCTGCTGGCGCTGGTCCCGCGCACGCTGGTTTGTTGGCGTTGTGGGGCGCCCCCATGATGCACTGCCTGATCTCGTAGTCCCTGCAGTTTAAAAGGATCTTCGCCTGGCCGCTCTTGTAAACCTTCGGGAGCTTGCATATCGGGAAGATGTCCTGCACCTGGTAGTGGTCCATGGCGCTGATGCGCTCGATCGTGGTGTTGAGAGCCAGCGTATCCATCATCGCCATCGCGGCGCCTGGTGCTGCCCGAGCGTAGTTGCGGTTCTCCTGCTCGATCGCTTCCACCAGCGGGTCGCTGACCTTCACGGTCGTGATGATGCACCCCTTGAGCTCCCTAATCTGCTTCGTGCTCTGGTGGGTCGCCCGCAGGAGGATCAGGACGCGCATGTCGTTCGTCAGTGATCTTGGGGGCTACCTTCGGTTTGTGCACGGCACCTCTCCCGCGGCGCACCCTCGCGATGAGGGCCTTCTTGGGGTCGATCTTCTGGTCGTCGAGCTCCACGTCCTGGTCCCCCGCCTTCTTGCGAAAGTCCTGTCCGCGTCATTGGCTCTGCGAGGGGTCGCCTGGCTTGGATCTGGCCCCGTTGGAGCCACCACCGCCAGGCGTGGGGGAGGATCCCCGCGGTGTGGCACGCGGGCGGCGCGGGCGGGGCCTCAATCTCGGTGGTCAGCGGCTTTCGGTCCTTGAACTTCTGTGAGATCTGGAGGGCGTGAGCTGCGTGGTTCCACGCGCGGCACTGCAGGATGCGGGAGACCAAACCCGTGGGGATATATACGTAGTCGGTGACCGATGGGTGGCGGCCGTCGTACATGGGGCCCGTGCCATAATACATACTCGCGACTGCCATGTGCGCGTTGCCGAGGTTGTGGTGATGTAGGTTGCCCGCTTCGCCCTTGCCCGTGGGGTAGTCGCCGACCGTCTCGTCACCGTCGGGGCCTGCGGCGAAGCGGTCGTTGAAGTCTATCATGACGGTCGGGGTGAAGCGAGATGGCGTACTCAGGATCCCCTGGGTTACCCATTGTGCCACCTTCGTCATGGTGGCCCGCCATTGTGGCAGTTTCCTTATATCCCATGGGGCGGGCGGAGAGTAGGCTGTGATGGTCTTCAACTTCATGATGCCCTGCTCGATGGTGAAACGGCCTCCTCGTCCCCATAGTTCTGGTGGCGGATTCAGCAGGATGCTGCAGCCCGCTGAGTTGTTGATGTGCATGCTGTGGCGCCCGTAGCCAGAGTGGATGGCGAGGTGGTGCTCATAGCGCTGCACGTGAGGCGGCTGTGCGGGTGCTTCGGAATCTTCGTGCCAGGGCCTCCTATGATCTGGATCTGGCGCAACTGAGATGAGACCTCCTCACATCGGGCGCCTGTGAGACTGAGCACCGCGAGCGACAAGAAGGTGGCGTGCGCCATCGCGCGCCCGAGGGAGCACATGCGAGCGGCGCCCTCTATTCTCGGGCAGGCATCTCTGGCCTGTGGAGCGCCTCCACCAGCCCCGCGAAAACCGCTAGAGCCGAGAGGGGCTTCATACATACATACATACATACATACATACATACATACATACATACATACATACATACATACGTATGCACGTACATACAAACATGCATACACACCTACGATACATAGATCTAGACATGCAATGTCGGAGGAGAGGATCCTCTTCCCTCATCCTTCCTTCCCCTCTCTCCCTCCCTCGCTCCCTCTCGGCATCCCTCCTTTCTCTTCCTTCCGCGCTCTGCGATGCATCGCGCACCCTCTGGGGATCATTGCCCTGCTCGACATTCGACTGTGCGAAAAGAGAGGAGATCTACGCCATGGTAAGGGATGGGAGGGAGGGGTAGAACGTCAGATATGACGCGAGCGCACCTAGCTTGTTTTCCCCCCCCCTCTCTCCTCTCCCCCTCCTTCCCTGCCTCCCTCCCTCCCCTCCTGACTCGTCCTCCCCTCGTCCATTCCTCCCTCCTCCCTTGTCCTGCCCTCGTCCTCCCCTCCCTCCTCTCCCTCTCTCCCTCCTCCTGCATCCTCCCTCTCTCACCCACCGTACCCTTCCTTCGCCACCTCCTCCTCCTCCTCCCCCTCCGCCATCTACTCCTCCTCCTTCTCCTCCTCCGCCTCCTCCTCCCCCTCCGCCATCCTCTCCCTCCTCTCCTCCTCCTCCTCCTCCTCCTCCTCCTCCTCCTCCTCCTCCTCCGCTTCCTCCTCCTCCTCCTCCTCCTTCTTTCGAATTCTGGGCTTCTGGGGCCGCCCTCGTTACCACGCCTGGAGCGCGTTTCTGTTTTCCCTGGCGATGATGGTAACGGGTGTGACAGGGGGAGGCGGTGAGGGGGCTGGTACGTCGCGATTCGCGCCGGCGCCGTCTGGGAGAACGCGTGGGAATGCCGCCTTCCCAGACGGCGCCGGCGCAACGGGAGGGGGGGGGGCGGGACCACTCACGGGTGTGATCGCGATAGCAAGAAACGAGCTCGAGGCGCGACGGAGCTTCGGTTTTCCGCGGGCGCCGACGTCGTCGCCGCGGGGAGGGCGTGCCTCGCGCGGCGCCGCGGGCGCCGCTCGCAATTCAGGGCAAGGCCTTCGGCCGTCTTCGGCCCCTGGGAGCCCTCCCACACAGACAAACGCGTTCCACCACTCGCAGAGTAACCATTCGCCAATGGCCTGGATCCGCCGAGGGGGATCTACGATCCATTACATGGAGGAAAACTTATGTTTTTGTTTCGGACGTTTGCGAGTAGGCACTTTGCGAGTGGTGGCACGCGCTCGGTGATCCCAGGTCACCTCCCCTGACCTCCTCGCGTGGTGTGACAAGAAGACACGACGGGAGGTCTTCGGCCGGTTTCGGCTCCGACGGGGGTCCCTCGCCAGGCCCTGCGGCCGTGGCACCACGACCCAGGAGGAAAAGCCAGTCTCCAGGAAAGGGTCCAAAGCCCTGGGGTGCCGCGATATGAAGAAAACACGAACTCGGATGACAGGGTAGGTAAGACATGGCGACCCAAGACCTCTACCATCTTTTCAACTTCCTCCTCCTCCTCCTTTGCACCTCGCCCGCATATGTTAGTCATGAATACCATTATTAATGTCATATGTATCTCTCTCTCTCTCTCTCTGCTGTGTTTCGCTCTCTCTATCTCTCTTTCCCCCTTTTGTTTCTTCTCTCTCTCTCTATCTCTATATATATGTGGATTGATAGACGTATTGTTTGGGACGCGTTTTGGGTGGTGTTCATCCCTCTCTTTCTCGCCCCCCTCCCCTAGAGATCCGTCGAGGCTTCCTGGAGACTCCAAGGGTCCAAGAGCCATTGGGGTCACCGGGTACTCCTCTTCTCCGAGGGCGACGAACACTACTATACGATTGCGTGCTACACCTGGTGGCGTTCGCCAGAGGTACCTGAGGAGCAGGAGGAGCAGGAGGAGCAGGAGGAGGAGGAGGAGGAGGAGGAGGAGGAAGAGCTGCACAACAGGACTGCTCTGTCCACCAGTGGCCCGAACAAAGCCCCGCGGCGGGGCGCTCAGAATCCACGCTCCGATGTCCCCAACAACGGTGCTGCGCTCTCGCTTCCAGTAGAACGCGTGTTGATCTCCTCCTCTGCCTCCTCCTCCTGCTCTTCCTCCCGCCTTCCTCCTCCGCCTTCTCCGCATCTTCCTCTTCCTCTTCCCCCTCCTCCGCCTCCTCCTCCGCCTCCTCCTCCTCCTCCTCCTCCTCCTCCTCTCCTCTCTGCAACCGCTGTAGGGTCAACGTCTCGCGTGACAGACATATTCTGACACACGTGTCCTTTGCATTTTTTTGCCACGCCTCATTCGGCGGTGCTGGCACAGCTGGAGGGAGCTGGTGCCACAGTCGTAGTTCTTGTGAGGACTTGTCAAGCTTCGACTGTCTTGCGGGCGTGAGCGGTATTCGTGCGTGGCGGGGCAGGCGGTCCTTCAATCCCTTGGGGGGGTCTGGCTCTCTACTTCTGAGCTGGTTCGCCTCTCGTTCCCCCCCTGCGTAGTAAAATGATCAATCAATGAATCCCGCTCTATCGCACCCTCTCGGTGCTGCCAGACGTGCAGCTGTCGCCACTTTGCTGTGCGCTTGGCAGAAGGGGCCCAGTGGAGTGCGACCCCACGCGGACCGAATCTGCGCCTTGTCCTCTCTGGGTGCTGTCAGGGCGTGCGACCGTCGCCGATGTGCTGCGCCGGTGTGGGGTCCGGCGGAGTGGGATCCCGCGCGGACCCGAGCAGGACATGGCACTCCTTGGGTGCTGCAGGGCGTGCAGCTGTCGTTGCTCTCCTGTGCCCTTCGGGGTCCAGTGCGGTGGCCTGCCCAATTCTACAATGGACTTGCGACCTCTAGTATTGACAAGCGTGTCGGATGGGCTGGGCACGATCCTGAATAACTTCAGGTCGGGCATGTCCCCCTACAGGCGGAGTTTGGGTGTCACTTTTTTTTGTTCTCTCTCTCTCTCTCTCTCTCTCTCTCACCGCGGAGGAGCGCCGCCTTCTGATGCCGAGGAGGCCCCTGCTCTTGCGGGACGTGGGGTTGGAGAAGTACAGCTTGCCGCCGACGACGGCCATGCTTGCCTCACGGTGTGCTCGAGGGGAGGACGAGGCGGATGGCCATGATTATGATGATAGTGGTGATGATGATGATGATGATGATGATGATGATGATGATGATGGTGATGGTGATGGTGATGGTGATGATGATGATGATGATGATGATGCTAATGATGATGATGATGATGATACTGAGTCGGTTGATGATGCTGCTGATGATGATGATGGTGATGATGAGGCTGCCGATAATGCTTATGACGGTGGTGGTGGCTGTCATGATGACTACGACGATGATAGTGGTGATGGTGATGATGACGATGATTATGCTTCTGATGATGGTGGTGATGATGACTGAGGAGGAGGAGGAGGATGACGACGATGGGGAGAACAAGGATGAAGGGGACGGACGAAGCAAAAGAAACGCGATACGCTCTATGTTTTTTTCCGGTGAGGGTGGGGCGTGGGCATCCCGTACCTCCAGAACGATCCTGCGACCTCCAGAAACTTCTAGGTAAGGATAATGGGGAATGAGGCGGAAGCCAAGGATCAGCATACTCGGCACCACGGATAACGAGGTCTAACGAAGGCAGGAGGATGAGGATGCATATGCTGAGTATGAGGACGGAGGGGACATGAAATGCGACGGATGCTGGGGATGGTGGAAGGAGTTGGAAGACGAATGGAGACTCATGCACGAAGATGCACATATACCCGAGTGGGGGCAGGGGGGGGGAGAAGGTAGGAAGACGGGGACATGGATGATAACGCAGACAGGAATAGGGGGTGGGTAGAGAAGGCGGGAGAGGATGGAGAAGGGATGAGGGTGGAGGGCGGTGATCATCGAATCATTAATCATATAAAGAGCATGCGGGGGACGGGGCGGGAGGATGGGGTCCTGTGCTTGAGTGCGGGGTGAGCTGCTGTCGGTTCAAGCCAGCACGAAGCACATACCGCGCCCTCATTCAGTCCGTGGCGCCGAGTGGGAGTGGGAAAGCGATAGGTATATGAATACATGGGGAAGGACGGATGAGGGTGGAAAAGGCGGAGGGTTGCGCAGGATGAGGAGAGGAGGGAAACCAGAGATGAGGAACGAGGAAGAAGGGGGGGAGGAGGAGACATGGAAGGAGGGAGGAGGAGGAATGGAGGGAGGAGACAGAAGGATATGATGATGATGATGATGATGATGATGATGATGATGATGATGATGATGATGATGATGATGACCAGAATAAGCCAACTATCCTGCAACAGATCCTCCAGTCCCAAGTCCCCTCCCCATGCGCCCCTACAGGCCTTCTTCCGCACTGCAAGAAGCGCCCCCTCCTTGAATGGCCAGCACAGTTGGGCTGGCAATCTGGGCGAGGGTCCCGCTTGAAACCGAGTTGCCTTGCACCTTACTGGCGCGTCATCAGGAACGCGAGAGACAATGATCGTACACCCCTCTCGAAAAACGGGCACCTTCCCCCATCAACTTTACACTTGTGGTAATGCACCTCGGGGATATCTCATATACCAACTTCAGTTCGGGAAAAACAACACTATGGCTCCGTGCAGCGCTGTGGGCGTTGAAACTTCGGGCCTCTAGAGCAAACAACGTCTCAAACGAGAGCTTTATTTTGAAAATTGCAATCCTGCATCCAAATACAAGTTTCGTTTTCGAACGACCTCGCACGGCGCTGAGGCGATAACTCGGTTTCGAAAACAACCAATCCTCAACCCTTGAAGATGTTGCAACATGTTAGACTGATATTCGCGGCGCGAAGGCGAGAACCCCTCTCCGATCAGAAACCGCCACCAAACCGGGAAGCTGATGCACCTTTGAACACACATGTGCGCGGTGCTAAGGCGAGAGCGCCATTTTGAAATCCCCTGCCCTTCCATCCATGATGTCGCTGCTAACTTAGCGAACGAATGTTGGCGGCGGTACGGCGAGAGCCAGGCTCTTGAGAGCGTCCCCCTTGATCAGTGGAACTGTTGCAGATGATTGAGACACATCTGAGCGGCGTTAACGTTCCGTCGGGCATGTCCTCCTACAGGCGGATGCTGTGCGAAAATTCAAACACAGTCAAAGCATACTCCAACAATTGTCAAAACATCGTCCCCATACTATGTTTGACTGTTTTTGCATATTCCTCCTGTAGGGGGACGTGCCCGACTTAACGCTAACGCGAGAGCCCCATTTTGAAAACCACTCCCTTTTCAACGCCTGGAACTGTTGCAGACATTGCGACGACTGTGTGCGGCGCTGGTGCGACAACCATATTTGAAAACGGTGCCCCCTGAATCTGTGCAACTGCTGCAGACTTTTAAGACGAAAACAACATGTTGAAACATAAGAGCCCTCCATCCGTGAAACTGTTCCCGACATTTCAAGCGAATGCGCGCATTGAACAAGCGAGAGCCACATTTACAGCAAATATGCGCGGCGCTAGTTGAAGAGGCACATCTTGAAAAACACCCCTCCATCCGAAAAACGGTTGCACATTTTGAAAACGAATGTGCGCGTCGCTGAAGCAACTGTTGCAAGTGCCAAGCTTCAGGATCACAAGTGGTGAGGAAATCACAGGCGAAACGCCTGGCCCGCCTTGCAGACACGTCTGGGGGTTTGACAGGGAGGAGGTATTTCTCAAGACAAAGGAGTGAGGAGGAGGGAGGGAGGGGCAGAGGAGCAGGAGGGATGGGGGAGGAGGGGGAGGAAAGAGGAAGAGAGGAGGGAAAGGTGAGGAGGAGGGAGGGGGAGGAAGGGGAGTAAGAGGTATCCCTCTGGACCAGGGCGTGAGGAAGGAGGAAGGGAGGGGCAGGAAGGGGGAGTAAGAGGAAGAGAGGAGGGAAGCGAGGAGGGAGGAGGTGGCCCGCGGGCGAGGCGAGCGCTTTTCCGCCCCCCCCCGCCGCGCCGCGCGCGCTGCCCCGAACGGGGCCGGCCGGCTTGGCTCTTCGCTGGGCGGGCGGCCAAATGCCCCGCCGGCGCCACCGAGGGGGGGGGGGGCCGGGCCGGCTGCGGGGCGACGCCTGAAAGGACTCGGGGGCGGCAAAGAACAGGGTCTCCAAGAGGGGGGCTGCAAATCATGGCCGGCGGCACGTGCGCGGCCCAGGGGGGAGGGGCCGGGCACGTATCAGCACAAGAGGAGGCGCCACGAGATCTGTGGAAATCTCATGGCCCCCGTCATGAGATCTGCCCCCCCCACCTAGTCACTAGTCATCACCCCCCTCTCTGCCGCCCACGAAGGACAGAGACGGGTCGGTCTCGAGGGGCAGCGCCAGGCAGGATCGGTCAGCGTCGCGTCGGCAGATCGGACCGCATGGGGACGTGCCTCGGCTCGGGCCGCGTCGGCACGGAGTCGGCGGCGCCAGGATGCGCAAGAACGCCATGCAGGCGTCGGGTCGCATCGGACCGGCGGGAAATTGGAATCCAATCCTATCGACCTGGCCGAGATCGATATCGAATCGGATTGATCGGATCGACATGGAGACTTCTCGTTTTTTTCTGCCACCTTCTATAATCTTTGTGTTTGTCCCCAACTCCCCCCGGAGCCGGGGGCAACCCCAGCAACAACAACTCCGTCAGCGTTGCCTTCAAGTGTGGCGCACTCACATCTGGGTCGCCTCAAGGGAGGACATCTGGGAGCCAGGGACTCCGAGGATGTCTCAGGCGAAACGGGCCTGGGCCCCTCGCGGACCACGTCTTAGAACTCAGAGTTGTGAGAACGTCTCGGGACAGCTCCAGACGACCCTGGCTTCCCCAACGGCGGTCCTGGGAAGGGGTTGCCCTCAAAAGAGCTGGGTGTGCTCCATGGCCCGCAGAGAGCCATCCTTCGAACCTCAGGCTCCGAGATGCCCTCACTTCACGTGCTCTGGCTCGTTTCGCTTGAGACGTCCTCCCAACTCTGGGTCCCAAGATGTGGTTCGCAAGGTCTCGGAACCCAAGGCTTCGAGATGCCCTGAATTGAGGTGCTCTGGCCCATTTCGCTTGAGCGGTCCTCACCACTCAGGGCTCTAAGATGTGGTTCGCGAGGCACCCAGGCTTGTTTCGCCTGAGACATCCTCGGGGAATCCCTGGCTCTGACCGCTCGCCCTGAGACGTCCTCGCAACTCTGGGTTGAAGACGCGGTTCGCGAGGTGCTCAGGCCCGCTTCGTTTGAGGCATCTTCGGGAGCCCAGGCTTCGAGGTGCCTTGACTTGAGGTTATTTGGCCCACTTGTCTTGAGACATCCTCGCAACTCACACCTCTGGGTTTCAAGATGCGGCTCGCGAGGTGCTCTGGCCCGTTTCGCTTGAGACATTCTCACCACTCTGGGTTCCGAGATGTGGTTCACGAGATTCTCAGGCCCGTGCCGCCTGAGACATCCTCCGAACCCCTGGCTACTGCGAGGTGCCCTGAATCGAGGTGCTCTGGCCCGCTTCGCCTGACCCTCCCCCACCCCCCGCCAGCCCAAGCAAGTCCTGGAGGAGGCCCAAACCAATCCGCAACAACCCACCGAAGTTGCCAGCATGAACAGTACAGTGCGGGCGCGGCCGCAAGAAACCCTCGCAAGAAACCCAACCCTGGAAACCCGCGCGCGAAGTGCACCGGAGGGGAAACCTGGAGCACTCTGAACGCAGCAGCAGCCTCAACGGCCGCGGGAAGTCGCCGCGCCGCGCGCGGAGCGAAGAAACCCAGGGTACCCTGACGAAAGGCAGATGGTTTCTTGGTGCGCGCCCCCACTGTACGGCTCCGAAGCACACCTGCACCCGCCTTTCGATGCGCCCCCACAAATCTGAGCGCGAACGGGCCCGTGACGCACCCTTCGCAAGCAGAGCACTGGCCACCCTCATCGGGCACGATGAAGCCGCGTCCAGCCCTGGCGAGGAGAAGTGCCCCGAGAGCAGTGAAAACTAGAGTACTTGTCTGGCAGCAATGCGAGCGTTAGCCTTCCTCCTCCTCCTCCTCGTCCTCAGACATCCTGCTACTCCTCCTCCTCCTCCTCCTCCTCCTCCTCCTCCTCCTCCTCCTCCTCCTCCTCCTCCTCCTCCCTCTCCTGCTCCTCCTTCTCCTCCCTCTCCTCCTCCTCCTCCTCCTTCTCCTCCTCCTTCTCCTCCTCCTCCTCCTCTTCCTCCTCCTTCTCCTTCGCTTCGCACTCATCAACGGTTGCTCGGAATTGCGAGGACGTCTCATGCGAAACTGGCTGGACCCCCTCGCAAGCGGCATCTCTTTGCCCAGAATTGTGTGGACGTCTCAGGCCAAACTGACCGGATCACCTCGCGGGCGACATCCTCAAGCCTAGCGTCGCGACAATGTCTCAAGCGAAACGGACGAGACAACCTTCGGTCTGGGTATCCCCGAACCCGAAATATCTGAGGATGTTTCAGGCGATATGGGTCGGACCACCTCTCGCGTAGCATCTGGCGTCTGGGAGCCCAGACTTGCGAGGATGTCTCAAGCGAAACGGGACGGACCATGTCAAATCTGGTCGTCTCGGATTGCAGACTTGTGAGGATTTGTCATGCGAAACGGGCCGAACCAACTCAGCATGTTGCCAATGTGTCGACGCACGAACCCCTCGGGCGGCATTCGTTCTTACCGCAACAGTGCCCTCAAGCACCGGCTGGGCGACTGCGGAACACTCCAAGACAACACCTGTTGAACGGAAACAAACGAGAAGTTCCCAAATGGGCCCTGACGCTATGCGTGACACCAGCATCGACCTGGGATCTGCGCTGCATCGCTGACAGATCGGCGACAGGCTCCTGGTGTCCAACTAATCAGCACGTGCCCAGGCGGGGTGGGCTATCGGGATCCCATCGGCGATGAATGGGCGACTCGGGGTGGATAACGTTGCCCCTGGTCTTCGGGTCATAACTTGGCTTTCCCGCGGTCGCTCGGACCCGGGCATCCCCGGAACGCCCTCGGCGAGGCGCGGCCGGGGGAAAACACCCCGAGGCTGCAGAGCCGCCGAGGGCCGACGAGACCGCCCTGGAGACTTCTCGCCTCGAGACTCCGTCCTCCCCTCGGGGTGGCGGGGACGTGCAAGGCGGGGTGGGGGCAGAGGTGGGGTCAGGGGGACATCACTCCAACCGGCCCGTGCAAGGTGAGGAGGACATGTGCGTATCCAGCTGGACGTGTTCCCCCGCCCCACCTTGGGATACCCCCCCTGCCCCCCTCCGTCTCTACGACCCCCCGACCCCCGAGCCTAGATCCGCCCCTAACGCTGCCCCTGTTCGGTGGTTCAAAGATGGGGTCCTGAGGAACAGGGGCCTATAGACTTGTGGATGCCATGACAATGGACACCCCAACAATCCGATCATTGACTCAAACACGTGTTTAAACTGTAGGAACCATGTTCTGAACATGTTTACATGGCTTGTACATGTTCAAGACGTGTTTTGCAACATGTCTGAGACATCTGGAAAGTATTTGGCAACATGCTTCCGCTCCATCGATCGCCGTCCACAACCATAGGCAGGAGGACCCCATCTTGGGACCACCGACGCCGGGGCTGCCTGGCGCCAATCCACGGCGCCCGCGCGGGCCTGCCCAGCCGCGTCGGCTCACGCCGCCTCCGCGGGGGCGGCCTGGGCGGCCTGTCGCGCGGGGGGCGCACGCCGTGGGCGCTTTACAGCTCGGGCCTGCTGCCAAAGTCTGCCTCGGACAACCGGCGGATCTCGCCCCACACGGGCTCCGCGGAAGTGTCCCACACGACGCCGGCGCCCGAGTCCAGGAAGTTGTCGAAGTCGAGGGCCACAGTGTCGACGTCCTGCGCGGTCGATGTGCACACGCCGAAGAGGAGCTCGGCGCCCTCGTCGCACACGAAGCAAAGGTCCTTCGAATGGCAGCTGAGGCAATACTCCGCGCACTGCAAGCACCGCGTGGTGTCGTCCGGGGAGTCCCTGTAGAACCCGTCCGGGCACTCCGCCATGCACTCGCCAGACTGGGTCCCTTCGTCCACCACCTTGAGGTAATACCCCTGGTAGCATGCCGTGCAGGAGATCTTGTGCTCCGTCAGGCACCGGTAGCACAAGCTGTCGCACTCCCCGCAGGACTCCCCGTCGATGGTGGGAAACTCCCCGCCGTCGCAATCCTTGACGCACACGTTGCGGGTGTCGAAGTGGTACCCGGCCTCGCACTCGGTGCACTCGTGTCTGAGGTCGCCGACACAGGAGACGCAGTGCGCGTAACAAGTATCGGGGTCGTCGGGGAGGCAGTACTTGTAGCAGTCCTCGCACTGGGTGCCGTTCCTGTACTGGCCGGCCGGGCAGTCCTCGTAGCAGCCGTCCACCCACAACGTGTAGCCGGGCAAACACTCCGTGCAGTGCCACTCGAGGTTGTAGTCGAAGAGGTGGCACGTCTTGCACTTTGGATGGCACTCGAGCTGCTGCGAGTGCACGCGCGGATGCTGCACGATCAGAGCCAGGCAGCACCCGCGCAGCAGCGCCCTCGCGCCCGAGGGCCGTTCCGCCTCCGACGCGCTGCCGCACCGCCGGCCCCATAAGGCGTGCCCGCTGGGGCGCATGGCCTTCCCCCTGCCCCCCTCCCGCCTCGCCGCGCCAGCCTGGGGCCAGAGGGCTACGGTGGCTTCACAGACACACATCAACAACAAAAAGACAGACACACCTCCTCGTCCCTCGTCCCTCCTCGTCCCTCCACGTCTCTCCTCCTCCCTCCTAATCCCTCCTCCTCCCTCCCCCTCCCTCCTCCTCCCTCCTCCCTCCTCCCTCCTCCTCCTCCCTCCCGGGGGGCAGACGGGCTCGAGACCTGGCCATGGACGGGTGCGGGGAGGAGCGGGAGGGGCAGGAGCAGGAGGAGGGGGAGGGGAGTAAGAGGAGGAGGAAAGGAGGAGGGGCGGAGGAAAGGACGAGAGGAGGCAGAGCGTAGCGAGGGGGGGACGGAAAGGACGAGAGGAGGATGATGAGGAGGATGAGGAGGAGGAGGAGGAGCAGGAGGAGGACCAGTGTAGACCCAAGACGCTTCCACGATGTTGCAATACACCCTCCCTCCCAACTCCTTTTTCACAAGTCCGTGCAAGGATTTGCTTTCACTGCGGGAGCCTGCAAATATTTGCTGTCACTGTGGGAAATGCCCCGTTGAAAGACAACCGTCTGCAACACCTCAACCGTGCCGAAATACTACTCCGGGGACTTCCACGCCGCGAAGTCACTGTTGCGTCCTGACGATTCTGCATCGCACCAGAACACCATTCCTGAGACTTCAACATCGCGAATGAAGGTAACTGTTGCGCCCTGGCGATCATAAACCGTGCTAAAGCATCATTCCTGGGGCGTCAACTTGTAAGGCGACTGGTCGCGGCGCTCAAACGGGAAACGCATTTTGAAACCACCCACCTTCCATCCGAGAAGCTCTTGCAAACTGTTAGGAAGAGTGCGCGCAGCGCCAAGGCGTGAACCACATGTTGACATCGGTTCGCCCTCCATCCTTAAAGCTCTTGCACGCTTTAAGACTGCGCAGTGCCAAGGCGAGAACAACCTTGGGAAAACAACCCGCCTTAATTAACATGACATTAAAAACGAAATGGCGCGGCGCTGAAGCGAGAAACCTCAGGATCAGACTTTTAGGACATCTCAAACGAAACGTCCGGCCCGCCCTACCGACACGTCTAGGGGTGCGACAGGGAGGAGTTACTACAAGGAGCAACGATGGATGGGGAGGAGGGGGGGCGAGGGGGGCAAGGAGGAGACGGAGACGAGGAGGAGGGGATACTGCTGGACTACACAGCCTTCAAGGCGCCTTGTCCCTGAACGAGGTGGGAGGCCAATCCACCAACCGCCGAAGCAAACTTGTGATCACACACGAGGGGGAGGAGGTAGACGAGGAGGGGGGGACGAGGGAGAGCGAGGGGGGAGGGAGGAGCAGGACGGGCAGAGAGGCAGGAACGCTGAGGAACACAGTGGTTAGGGACCGAGGAAGGGCCGCGGAGGGCGAGGACGACGACGGCGGCCAAGCCTCGCACACCGGGCCGTGAAGCGCTGGAACGAACTCCACCTCGCTCCACGTCATGCCTGGGCGGGGCGCGCGTGCGCGGGCGTTCCCCGCCCGAGCTTGGCCCCTCTGCCCCGCCGCCGCCGCCAGCTGCCCGCGCCCCGGCCCAGAGGCGGGCGGCCCGCTCCAGAGCGCAGAGAGGTGCCTGTTGCGGGGGAGTCTCAGCAGGTCCCTCGGGGGAACCCCCTCGATAAGGGCCCCTTCGAGAAGAGCGGGGGAACCCCCTCGAGGAGAGCTCCGTCGAGGAGAGCCGCCTCGAGGAGAGCCCCTCCCCCCTCCCTACCCCACCTTTGGGCCCCCGAAGGGGCCGCCTTTCCTCTCACGGCCTCCCTCTGCACACCCCCTTGGGCGCCCCTCGGGAAGCGCCCCCCCCCCCCCCCCCCTCCCCTCCGTCCTCCTCCTTCTCCTCCTCATCTCCTCATCATCACCGCCTCCTCCTCTCCTCCTCCTCCTCCCTCCTCCTCCTCCGCCTCCTCCTGCTCCTCCTCGCCTCCTCTGCTCCTCCTCCGCCTTCTCGTCCTCCTCGTCCATCCTCGTCCTCCTTGTCCTCCTCGTCCGCATCGTCCTCCTCGTCCTCCTCGTCCTCCTCGTCCTCCGTCGTCCTCTCCTCCTCCTCCTCCTCCTCCTCCTCCTCCTCCTCCTCCTCCTCCCCCTCCTCCGATTCATCCTCCTCCTCCTCCTCCGCGCTCGCGCCTCCGCAGCTGTCCTGGTCTCCCCGCGTGGGAGCAGCCTGAGTGGACCTCATGTGGGTCCATCGGGCCAGGCTTTGAGGCCTGGCGGTGGCTTACCTTGGGTAAGCTTCTGGAGCGCCTTGATGCCACCCTCTGTTGGTGGTGCACACTGCTCCCTGAATTTCTTGGCTGCACGGATGGTCCAGGCTCCACATCGGGAACACCAAAGGACACCATTCAACTTCTTGATGAACGGCCCGTGGGATGGATGAAACCGATTTTGTGGCCCTGGGGGGGCGCAGGGGGCCTTGAGCCACCTGTGTGTTCCCTTGATGACACTACCTTGCTTGCCGCAAGCGAGACAGGCAATCTGGAAATGAGGAGGGACGGGGGCAGCGGAGAGGGAGTGGGGCGTCCTAGACAGCTCGACCTGTAAAGCTGCTACACTGCGCTCCACCTTCACTTTCCTACGGTTCTCCTTGACATCCTCATCCTCCTCGAGGCCCAGTGGGTCTTTGTGACTCCAGTAGTGAGTCTGAACTGCTGCCAATCTGTCCCTGATGAGATCGGCGGGAATGTCGGTGCCTTGGAGGTGTCGAGCTAGGGGCCCTGGACTTGACGCCGCTGTGCTGCTTCCGCAGCGAGAATGTCGGCATGGCCATTGAGGTGTAGGGCCCATGGAGGCTCTCGAGCGGCTTCTTCCTCCGTGGGGTGGCTTGTTACTTTGTAGAAGATCGTGTTGTCCCGTCGGTGTTTGGCCTGGGTCCAGAACTTCTGCCACGTGTACTGGTTCTTGGGGTACCGAAGGCGGGGGCCTCTGTTGAAGCCCTTGATCACATAGGCACAGTCAATCACGATAATGAGGCGGCCGCGGGTGGACTCCAGCAGCGCAATGACTGCCTCGAGCTCTGCCAGCGGCACCGTCTGCGGGCCGACGATGCCTCCCTGGATGGTTCCTTTCCAGGTGAGGTCGTGTGCCCACAGGGATACGCTCCAGCCACAGACTCTGATGCGCGGGTCCTGCGTATGAGGCCCTCCACTGCCGCCTGTGGCTGCCACTTGCCAGCCATCGAACTGATAGACTGCGTGCTGTTCAAATACTCCTTTTTCGGACTGTGTCCTGATCTAGCCCCAGAATGTGTCCATGGACTTGGCGAAGGATCGTGGCGGGGATGATTCCTCGGAGCCAGAAGCTGGGTTCCGTTGGGGACTCTGCCACTGCCCGATCTATGGAGCCCTGGGTCCGATTGATGGCGGGGATGTTGAGGCTCCCCAATTCAGGACACGTCCACAATTTGTGCAAATCATCTCCGTGTTCTTGCCCACAGAGAGGACAGCCTGCGTCATCCTGCTGGCCGCTCTCAAACCTGCGGTGGGCGCTCCAGCACCTCGAGCAGGAAGCGGCCTCTAAAGCTGCTGGGAAAGTTGCTTCTCGCCGGGGTTCCTCCTGGGCCTGGACTTGTTGGGCCCGGTGGAGGGGGTGCTCGATTTGCTTCTCCCGTTTCTTGATGGCGGCCCGCTTTCTGGCAGGGTAGAGCCGCAGGGAGTACGCGTCCCCCCCCCTCCTGGAGGCCTCCAGAGTTGTGACTGAGAGGGTCAGTAGCTTTCCACACATGCATGTTCAAGAGGAACTCCAAGTGAAACATGAAAACCTTCTGGGGGTCCCAGCTCAGCGGCTTGACGGGGAAATCGAGGCCCATCGGGGTCCCTCCAGAGCCATGCCGAGGTAGGGTTCCAGCCTGGGTCGTACAGGGTGGCAATGATCGCGGACATGTGGGACCTGACCATGAGCCACCTTGATGGTCTCTTGAGTTTCTCCCTCAGAGTCCCCCAAGCCTTCTGGATGCCTCCGAGGATGCTGAGTTCGGTGTTGATAACCCGAAACCACATCGTGAACAACTGGACCCGAAGGTAGATCCCTGGATCCATGTTGGATGGGTGTCCTGGACGGGTATGGAGGCCAGTGGTAAGGCAGGCCCCTGCTTTGGAAACTCCATGTGCCGCTCCCGCCCGTCGGCGGAGATACTGGACTTCAGTCGGTGCTGATCCGTGTCCCCCCCATGCCCCACTTCAGCTGCGGTAGAACGCCTGTGCGGAAAAGTGATCGCGCCTTGATTGTAGTCTTGGCCAGCTGCTTGATGTTCTTGTGTCTCTGCACTCCGAGACGACGACGGGTTCGGCGGACTCCCAGGACCCTTCTCTTCCCGATCGTAGTGTCGACCCCCAGGTCCCGAGCGTGCTGGACGGGTCTGATCTGGACCCCTGCTTGGTTGAGTTTGTCGGCGACCGTGGTGCGGATGTCGTTGGAGCTGGCCAGGGCCACAGACTGACCAGAGAGACGGCATCCTAGGTCAGCGAGTCCTCCACATAACTGTATGAGGAGCTCTGGGAAGGCTTCTTTCAGGGCCTCTGGGCCCCCCACAAGACGGACCCTGATGTCGCCCACCCAAGTTCGGATCGTGGGCCTTGGGATCTGGTAGTGGGCTCTCTCGAGGACGTCGTACAGGTGGGCCCTTGTCCAGGAAACGCTTTGTCCGCACCCTTGGAGGATTGGGGCCATCGGGATGAGGGGCTCGCCGACTCCAATCGGTGCCGTGAGGACTCTGGCACAGGTGTGGACCATCATGCCCAGTGCCAGTGGGGCCACCGGGTAGCCTAGGGCGATGGCCTTCTCAGCCAGCTTGCGCTGGCGGATCGTGTCGAAAAACTTTTCGAAGTCTAGAACGCCCTCGATGATGGAGCACTTGAGAGAGCTGCTGATCTCTGCAAAAAGCTCGCTGATGAGGGCTGCCCTTAAACAGTCACTGCCTTTGATAGCTGCGTCCCAGAATCCTGCCCGTGCCTCTTCCCAGGAGGAGATCTGGCCCTTGACTAGGCCCATGGTGACACGGTGCGGGGCGTTCGTCAAGGTAATAGGGCGGTCGCTGACCTCTGTCTTGGGTTTCAGGGCTACCAAATTGATTAGGCACTGGGCTGGAAACTGCTGCAGCCTACACGTATCATTGATAATGTCGGTGAGGATCTCTAATCCTTCAGGAGGGGGCCGACGGAACTCTGCCACTCGCCACTGGTCCGCTCCTGGTGCCGAATTGCTCGAGAAACTTATGAGGGCCTTCTGAACTTGTTCTGGGCTCCAGCTGCGAGAGGGGTCCCAAGAGTCCTTTGCTTGCTGGCGTAGATCTTGGAGCCACGGGGCCTCAGGGGGCTTGTCGGGGAGGATCTTATCTGGGTCCCAGCACTGCAACCAACACTCGCTTTTGTGGTTCAGGACCTTCAGGGGGTCTGTGATCATCTTCCCGTCGACCGAGCTGAAAACGTCATTGTCCTCTTCTGGAGTGGGCCCAGGGACCTTTGTAATGTGGCGTGCGCCGCCGCCCCCGTGGGCGAGAGAGTCGTGGAGCCAGGTCTTGAATGCAGTCTCCTTCTGCATCAAGGCTTCCTTATCAAAGTGCTGAACGATCAGCTCGAGCTGAAAACGTGCATCTGGCCACGAGGTCGTAGCGCTTGTGCCTGCGAGATATGACTGCACCAGGGTCTGCGAGGCTGGCAGAAGATCTGGTGGCCATGCTGGGTTCGCCTGGAGGGTCGAGGTGAGGTACCCCTGGATCCTCAGGAGCTCTCTGGAGGCCGGATGGTATTGGAATAGATGATCCCGTTCTTGGGCCCGCTGCTGGACCACCCCCCACTGATGACTGTCGTGATGAAGCCGATGCTGGAACGGAGTGGGGGGGGCGGATGTCTCTCCAAAAAACCTCGAAGCCGTCCCCTCGACTGTATCCTTCTTGGGTGCCTGCTGGGGTCCCGATACACCAACCCTCGAGAGCCCGACTGAGGAGGCCGTACTGGTGGGCGAGGGCTTGGCTGGCGAACTCTTCTGCGATGGGGAACTGCACCTGCGGCGTCTCGTGCTGGTCTAGCTGCGCCTGGTGCCAATACTGCGCCCACGGACTGGCTGGGGCTGCTGACGATTGGACGGAAGCAGCCTGCCTAGGGAACCGGAACCACCCCTGGCGATGCATGGGACAACTGCTCTGAGTCCGATGCGTGGCTTCCACGGGCTGGTTAAATCGGTCTCGATAGACAAGTAGTCAGAGATCGAGCTGTGGATGATGACGTAGTCGACGAGACGACCACTGCGACACGAGGTCTCGATGTTCGCAGTTTTGACGACACCTGAGATTTTCTGGACCCAGGGGTGGCCTGCTAGGAGCTCCTGGAGGACCATGTTGAAATCTCCCGAGATGATGTACGGGAGGTCCAGGGAGGTGAGGAAAACGGAAATCTTCTTCACTACCTTGATATTGAAACTGCTGTAGCCGACCCCCGACTGGAGGTAGGCGGTGAGCA